ACCTTTCAACAGCAATGTTTACACACACACACACACACACACACACACACACACACTGAAAAGTTAACATTAATAGTCAAAAATTTAAACAATTGCTGTAGTTAGCATGTTAGAATATGTAAGAGCAAATCACTCATTTTGCATTTTGGCCCATTTTCCTCCATTTCATAATCAGATCATTGCAGATCCTTCAATTTAAATTCTATACTAACACTCAAGTGTTGACACATTAATACATTTCGGTACTGCAGATGAAGACAGTGGAGTTACAGGATTTAAAGCCAACATACTAAAGTATATGGTCCCTCTTAACTGAGCCAATTTAAAAAATGGACAGACTAACACAGAAACTGTTTTCATTAGAGACTTGGACATAAGAGCCACACAAGTACAACCCGAGAAAGTTAAAAACTCCTCCCCCAGGAATTCTAGTATGCATTCAACTCATTAAATGAAATATGGGGGAGACATCACAGACTGGCTACACAGACTCTTAGGGAGAGTTCTGAATCTGAACTGAGTATTAGTTACATCAGTGAACAGAGGTTTTGTCTAGGTTTTTTGTTTTTAAGTAAAGCTTACATCACAGCAGTATAGCTGAAAGACAGACTTCTGCAATTCTTCCTCCCATCCACGCATAGCTAACTTAGAAAACAGGTGGACTTCATGTAACTGACTTGTCCTGGAGTGAAAAACTTAAAAGTGAATGCCAATCAACTTCATTATTTTATTATTAAGTACCGGCCATTTGACACTAACCATTTAAGTGACCAGGTAGTACTTTTTCCCTCTATCACCAGGCTTCTGACAATTCTCCATTCACTAATGTAAGTACATTACACGAAGCTAGTTACTATATCTATTTAATATTCAATAGTTGCACATGATTAACAAATCAAGCATAGTCAAAGCCAGAAATCATCTTCCACCCCAATCCCAGTCAAAGATTATGCTTGGTCCTGTGAGAAAATATGACCTACACTAGAAGATTTTAAATACAATTAAATTTATTTGGTGTAATACATGGGTATTGAGCCAGAAGGTATCACAGCGTCTGATCCCATTACAACAACTTAGTTTGCTTTCATTTTCTTCAAGAAACGAGCCCGCAATTTCTTGTTTTGGCTCATTGCTAAGTTTACAGCAGTTGAGGTAGGGAGAAGAGTCATGAACCAGCCCTAAGAAACGGAGAGAAAAAACTCAATCTGTTATACTTGCACCAAGATCCATCAACATTGTTCCTGCCATAGAGTCAATTATCATAAAAAGAGGACCAAGAGATCTGGGAAATCAGGTACCAGTTTTGAAAGTAATGCAATTCACCATTCCTTTTTTGCTTCCCGGTCCCAAAATGAATGCAGAACATACACAGACTGCACACAGGAAGTGTCCTCACCCTTTCAAGGTTAACTTACCATTATAGCATGGGGCAGATACCCATTGGTCCGTGACTGCAGGCCTACTGTGCCAAGAGCAGCTTTTACATACGTCTCAGGACTGGGTTTATCAAAGGTTGGTTTGCGGATTTTGGCCATTTTTGTAGCCACAAAAAATGGTAAAACACTCTGTAAGCAAGAAAAAGACCACAGTAAACAAAGTCTATTTTCAGAAAGGCTTTGTGTGTATATATTTATTCACTATAGCAAGAAACACATTTTGTATTGTACATTAGGTCACATGTGCTACTTGTACTAGATTCTAAACGTGACCTTAAATTAAGTTTAAAGAAAATAAATCAGATCAAATACTGGCAGGATTACAATCTAGAACAGGGATTAACAACCTATGGCCTGTGAGCAGGATCCAGCCCATGAAACCACATAGGCTTTGCCTCCATCCACATCTGCACCAGCACTAAGCAGCAAGCAGATGTGCTGGAGTCAGGCAATTTCCAGCTGTGCCCTTGATGCCATTGCTGCTTCTGTCTGCCCCCTACCTTCTCCCTGGCTGCAGCGTGAGTGCAGTTTCCAGCCAACAGGAACCTGTGCTGGACCAGGCAGACAGAAGCTGCTGCTGCTTTTCCCTCCCCCAACCTCTCAGCTCTGGCACAAAAAAGTGGCAGCAGTATGGGTGCAGCTTCCAGGTGCCTGGCCCTGGTGCAGCTTCTTTACCAGGTGGAAGCTGTGCCTACATTCCAGCCAGGGGGCTGAGAGAAGCACCACAGCATAGACATATCTCCCAGCTGCCTGGCACTGGCACAAGTGCAGGGAAAGCCCCCAGGGCCTAGCATGTCATGGAAGCCATCCAGCCCATGTCAGACCAGAACTGGGTTGTTCTAGCCCATGACTTGAAAATGTGCTGGCTGTTGACTAGAATGTTAAAAATGCAAATTGTAGCGCTGAAAGAATTAACAGCAGATGGCCATAAAACCCAGACCTAGGACATAACATCTCACAAAATAAGCACTTGTCAGCTCTTGAACACATTACTTCCTGGTATAGTTCAAATGCTGGAGTGGTGATACTGGTGGGTCAGCAGACAGAACTGCAAACAAGCCAATACTGGCATGACACTAGGAAATACGATGATGCCCAAGCCTCTTGTGGAGGATGGCAATAGCATTCTCGTACATGTGCTCAAAATTCCATTAGTGAGAGCAGGACTAGTTCTAGTGTCATCACCAAATTCCTATTTTGCAAATATAATTCTGTCTTTCCCAAATTCCCTGTGGCTTTAGTTGCAGAAAGCAGTCCATTTCCCACTCAAAAGTACTGTTGGTTGCTATGTATCATCACACCATGCAATGAATGCACTTAAGTTACAGTTCACGCCTCCACTATATTCTTCTCCCCTTTGTCAAGGAACTGCAGGGGGGTGGGGGTAAGGAAGGAAGGAGGGAAAGAACCCTATTGGGAAGTGGGGCTAAAGCAGGTTGGGTAGGTGAGTTTGTGTGCTCTTTAAATTCCAATGACAAGCTTCCCTGCAAATCTGTTTATACTTTCAAAGCTCTACTTGCAAATAAAAGGGTTAAACAAGGACTTGGCACACAAATCTTCAAATGTGGATAAAAAATATCTTAAGTAAAAGTGACTTGGACTTTTGGAAGTGGAAATATCTACAGGTCTCTAAGGCTGCAAGTTCTGAGTCAGGTATTTGAGCAACTTTAGGGGTCTAATTTTTAGGCAGCCAAGTTCAAACGTCTTGGATTTAATATTAGTTCTTTTAACCATTTGCCTGTCACTTGGGGCCTTTTAAATGTTGCTGTAGCTTGATGCCTATTTGAATATTCTTTGTTCACCCAGAAATTTTTCCAATATCCCTTTTCCATCTAAAAACTGTAAATATTGATAGATGAAATTGAAGACAAGCTATTTGAAACAAAAATTAACAAGTGCTACTTAACACAGACATGACAAATAGCTCTTTGAGCCCCCTGCTGAAAAATGTGAGCAAAATATTCTCCGCTAACCATACACAAATCACAAGTATTTGAAATAGATATGATTTTACAAGGGACCAAAAATGATTTTTATGAACAGAAAATGTCTCAAATCTGACCTCTCCTCATTTTCCTGTAACAGAACACAAAAAACACAAACTGCCCTACCTAACTGCACCACTTGATGGTGCCAAAGGATAATCTTTGGTTTACACAGAGGCACTGGATTTAGAAGAGGAATGAGTGTTAGCGTTACTATTACAGAGAGAATACTACAGCCACTAATGCACGAACTTCAAAGCAGTTAAAATTATATGATTGTACAACACCATTTTATCCCCTACTTTCTCAAAAAAAGAGAAGGGCATATTTGATTTAATAAATATTAGCTTTACCATCTTCCAAATGCGTGATCTTTTGTTTGGCCTAATGCTCCAATATACTTTCTAAAAGCTGTTAATTTTTCCAAATGTTTATTGCATGCAGAACCCCCACCTCAAACTATCAGAGAATCATGTCTAATTAAACTACAATCAAGAGATTAAAAGGTGGTAAGCAAAGCAAGATTAGCTGTGAACAAAGCCCACTGAGACTGAGTACAAAAGTGGCATTGCCCAGACTAGGAAAGTCTGCACAGAAACTGGATTACAAGCAAGTCACTGAAAGACCTAAACTTTTCAAGGCTCTGTTTCATGCTCCAGCCTGAAGACCACAATTCTTCTTTATAAGGGAGAAGACAAGTTTCAGCAAAGTTTTTTACGCGGATGATTCTCAAGAAGGTGCTGCCTTCAGATCTTCTGGTGCCACCATTCCACTTAAGAAATGAACTGTCTCAGGCTACTATTAAAAATAACAACAGCTACAACAAAAACCACCTTATTAATGTACCCAAAGTGAAAACTGATAAAAAAAAGCAATGACAGAACTAAATTTCACATATTCCTTGAAACAAGGCAAATATGTGAAATAAATCTGGTACTATGCCACTGCACTAGCGACTGTCGTAGAGGCATTCTAAAGAGCTAAATACAGCAAGACTTTTCCTACCTCTGATTTAGGTTCATTAATAATTATTAGGCAAAAAGAGTCAGGGATACCTCATATAAAAAAAAACTGTTCTCCATCTAGCACTCTGAAGCAGAAAATAAGAACAGAATGAAAGGGAAAAGAATCCACTGAGTCCTTCAAACTATATAGCCCATAAACCGGTTTAAGTAATCAGAAACTGGTTTAAACCCGTAACAGAACATAAATTCAGTACACATAAATCAGTTTCACAATGGCTGAAACTGGTTTAAGATAAACCTGGTTGAATGTAGTATCAGACTTAACTGATTTGGGTTAAACCAGTTTATGCAATGTCT